TGACTAGCAATGTGGCTAGCACAGAGGAGGTTCTGAAGATGGCCGCTAGGAACCGCTTTTCTTACTTGGCTACCCTTCAGGGCAGAAAGTAATCCATATTTGTGTTATAGGCTCACTGCCCCAATAACAAATTCCCCACTCACCTCCTTCTCCTGATTGCTTACCTGTCAGTGCGAAACAATGAGGAAAGGACCATAAAATATGAAACTGGCATATAATGGCAAAGTGAATTGAAAGCACCTTAAAATATACCTGTAATTTAAAATGTAATAGTTTGTTAATTTTCAAAATGAAAAGTATGAATGCAATTTGCAAAATTTACCATCATAAACATCTTAAAACTAAGAACAGGAAGATTTACAACTCTGGGTAGGAAAGCACATTCATTTAGCAATATGTGCTTGTTATGTTTTATCAAAAGCAGGTTTTTTTCATTGCAATCACTTGCTCTGCTTATAACCTCAAGGGCACAGTTCCTTGTCTGTGATATGTAAATAAAACATTAATCGCAGCATCAATTATGAATTATAGACCATGTGCCCTGTGCCTACAGTTAGACAATGTTTGAGATCTCCAGATATACTCCTGAACACACATATTACTGGCTTTACCAGGGATACAGTATAATTTTGTGAAGAATTTAGGAGTAGCTCCACTTAAGTCTTATGCATATATAAAGCTTGAAGGGACACTATAGTAACCAGAACAACTACAGCATATTGTATCTATTCTGGTGAGTAGAATCATTCCCTTCAGGCTTTTCAGCAGTAAACACTAACTTTTCAGAGAAAATGTAATGTTTACATTACAGTCTAATGATACCTCCACTGGCCACTCCTCAGATGGCTACAAGAAGTGCTTCCTAAGGCATTGCTGCACACTGTGCAGGACTGACATTCAGTGTCTCCACCCTCTGCATGCACTGAACGTTCCTCATAGATTGCCCAGGGCTGTGTTTGGCTTGTGCTGGCTCTGCCCCTGATCTGCCTCCTTGACGTGCTCAGCCAATCAAATGCTTTCCTATGAGAAAACATTGTGATTGGCTAAGATAAACACTTCTGATAATATCAGCCAATCAGGCAGATAAAAGGCCAACAGACTGGAATAAAGGTAATATTTTACAATATTTAGGGTGGCAAGTGGGGGCCGGGGGGTTAGATGGTGGATTTAACACTATAGGGTCAGGAATGCATGTTTGTGTTCCTGACCCTATAGTGTCCCTTTAAGATATACAAGTTGTTCATAGTCCTTACATGTAGAGGGGGACTTCCCAAAAACTTTGTTGTGATTACTTATCTCCAGCCTTGATTGAATCATGGTCTACTAGAGTCATGGCACTGACCAAGTTAACTAATGAGATTGTGTTTGTTAGTAAGGAAAGTTAGTTAGCATGCTACTGTGGCGACTGACCTTTTTTTCCTAAGCTTTGTCAGAGAGTATTTTTGTTTTACCCCAGTCAGTGCAGATTGCAGGGAATAGGGTAGCAGAGATTTACAAGGGTCTGTAAGGATATGGATGGAGGTTTTCTTTTCGTAAGTAAAAATATTCCTTTTTGCATGGAGATAGGTTTTGAGAAGAAATGGCATAGCAAAGCACTCAATAATGAATCAGAGAGGCTGCTTTATTGCTTTCTGTTGCGGGTATCATGAGGCCCATAAGATTATGGATCCTTCATTACTCTTAAATCAAGGCTCGATGTAGGAACTCTTGTCACTTAGGAAATGTTGGTTTGGCATTACTAAATTATTTTGAAGCTGTAAATGATTACCTTGATCGCATCAAAAGTGTTATTTGGCAAGATTGTGTTGAACAAAGCACTAGATTTGAGTGTTTATTGTAATGGTTAAGTAGATATAGCTTGATTAACTACTACAACAAATCCCCTATGTTTCACAAATATGTGTTTCTGAGGTCTGAAAATAATATTGAGGCATATTCACTAAACTCCAAATAGCAAAACTATTCTTCAACTCCACTAAAAAAACCTTGAATATTTGGGGATTTGCACTTTTGACAAAATCCTGCAAGGTGACAGGTCTGCTTCTAATGTGGCACCCAGTGAGAAGAGAGGAACAATTATACTTACCTAAACCTCTCAATCTTCTGCACCAGAGTCTTCTACTTTTTCCCAGATTTTGAGCTCCTGCTGGCGTCATCTGCCGATGCTACTATATTACGAAATGCAGGTTTTAGATTATTGAAAAGCAGGCTGTCTTAAATAATCTCAAGCTTGCGTAATGACAGGGTACCGGGATCTTCTGCGCATTGTGTAAGATAATATACGTTTCCATCACAGTAAGAGGCAGGATGAGGCAGTGGAAGATCTGACCACTGCCACACATTGACAAAAATTGGGTTCTGCAATAAGCCATTAGTGGCTACTTGTACACATAGATTCCCTAAATAAATCAGTTTACTATCCGGCATCAGCATGCAAAGTACACTAACAAGGGACGCCGCGTGCATCCAGCGCTTCCAGAGAAACACTGGAATAGTGTATTGTGACAATTGCTGTGCATGTACAGAGGATACTTAAAGGACCACTCTAGGCACCCAGACCACTTCAGCTTAATGAAGTGGTCTGGGTGCCAGGTCCAGCTAGGGTTAACCCATTTTTCATAAACATAGCAGTTTCAGAGAAACTGCTATGTTTATGAATGGGTTAAGCCTTCCCCCTAATCCTCTAGTGGCTGTCTCATTGACGGCCACTAGAGGCGCTTGCGTGCTTCTCACTGTGATTTTCACAGTGAGAGCACGCCAGCGTCCATAGGAAAGCATTGTAAATGCTTTCCTATGAGACCGGCTGAATGCGCGCGCAGCTCTTGCCGCGCGTGCGCATTCAGCCGGCGGGGCGTAACGGAGGCGGAGAGGAGGAGGAGAGCTCTCCGTCCAGCGCTGGAAAAAGGTAAGTTTTTACCCCTTTCCCCCTTCCAGAGCCGGGCGGGAGGGGGACCCTGAGGGTGGGGGCACCCTCAGGGCACTATAGTGCCAGGAAAACGAGTATGTTTTCCTGGCACTATAGTGGTCCTTTAATGCTTTTCCATATAACGAGACAAATCTTATCGGGACTGATGGCAACATAAGAAGAGGATTGGCTGTATTAAAGGGACACTATAGTCACCCAGACCACTTCAGCTCAATGCAGTGGTCTGGGTGCAATGTCCCTCAGGTTTTAACCCTTCAGATGCAAACATAGCAGTTTCAGAGAAAATGCTATGTTTACATTGCAGGATTAAGACAGCCTCTAGAGGCGCATCTGGGACGCTGGAGGCATTTTAAGCCCCCATCACGCAGAGCGTCCATAGGAAGGCATTGAAAATGCTTTCCTATTGACAGCTTGAATCCGCGCGCGGCACTTGCCGCGCATGCGCATTCAGCTCCGATGACGTCGGCGGGGGAGGAGAGGACACGCAGCGCTGGAATAAGGTAAGCTGCTGAAGGGGTTTTAACCCCTTCAGCGCCACGGGAGGGGGACCCTGAGGGTGGGGGCTACCTCAGGGCACTATAGTGTCAGGAAAACCGATTTGTTTTCCTGACACTATAGTGATCCTTTAAGGACTCCTGGAATAAAGGCTAAATTATTGTCCATATTAATCACTTTAAAAGACCTCCTAGGGTAATATCCCCACAAGGGGCTCGGGACACAATGGAAGTTAGTTATACTTGCCTTAAACTGTCCCTGTTGGGTACTGTCATCTTCTTTCTCCATAGAGTCATCCTGATTCCCAGTCATTGCTAGCGAGAGCTGGGAGAGTTGTCAAGTTTTGTGAACCTCAGGCTTTACCATAAGACAAAGTAGCTACTACTTATATTATCTTTTGACTGTTTTGGAATTTCACCAAAATTGCAACAGTCAATGTGAGTTTTTTTTTATAACTAAATACTCTATCTTTATGAAATACTGAAATTGTTTGTTGAGGTTACCGAGTCACTTTAAAATAATACTCCAAGCACTATAACAATCCAGAGCACTGTAGTGGTTATGATGACATGAATTTCCTGACATCCCCCATTGTAGGTAATTAAACCATTTTAGAACAATTTGACTTCTAACCTGGGTTTTGCCAGGTACTGCTTCCCACCTCCACCACTGACAATAGAGATGGAAACTTCTGTTAGCCCTCCTGAGCGAAGTCATAAGCCCAAGGCTGAGAACATCTGCTGATTTTTATATATTGACCCCTCTCTCTAGGCCCACCGCCCAAATTGGCACAAATTACTTTTTTGTATCATGTCAGTCCCTTTGAGTCTTCTTTTAAGGTCGCGCCATTTTGGCGATTTCAAGATGGCGGCCATCAAAAAATCCCAGCCTCAGCATGGAATCACGCGGACGCCCAGCACAGCTTGCGGACTCCTAGCATCATAGAGGATCCACCACACAGAGCTGCCAGAAGGGGCATGATGCCATAGGGAGGCGAGAAATGACCAAGCCGGCCAGTGACAAAGGACGTGAAGAGTGACTTTAAATTCCACACCTTGTCACCCAGCATATTACACAGAGGGAAACATAGCCCCTGCTTTTTCTTAACCCCTTAAGGACACATAACATGCGTGACATGTCATGATTCCCTTTTATTCCAGAAGTTTGTCCTTAAGGGGTTAAATATATATATATTTTTAATGTTAAAAAAAAAAAAAAGGTGTATTTTTAAAAACAAGCATCATTTAAAAAAAATAAATAAAAATAAACATTATGACCCCCTCTGTTTTATGAATGCTTTATTAATAACTGCATGTATCCCCCCTCCTTCCATACAATGAGCCCCCATCTACCAATAACAGAGACCCAGCATCCTCCAACCTCTGCCTCACACTACAGCACAGCGGCCGCCCGCTACAACTTATATAGATAGAGCGGAGGCAGCGGATTGGCTGACACAGCCGCAGCCATGACAACTGGCCTCGCGCTGATTGGCCCGCAGAGCCATTCCTCAGTAGGTCCAGGGCAGGCGGTTGCTGTGGCAACGCCGAGGCGGGCGTGAGCGAAGCCGCCGCCACCGGCGCGCGCAGGACAACCTTCCCAAGTTCAAAAGTAACGGCAGCGGCTGCGGGCGGGCGGAGTGCGTGTCTCCTTCCGCCCTCTCTCCGCGCGCCCTGACCGCACGGTTACTGCGCTGGGGGTTCCAGGCGGAAAGCATTCCGTGAAAGGTGCGTGACCGTCCTTTCTTACACGATTGCATTGCTGATATCCTTGAGCCGTGGTGGAAGGAGGGCGGCGGAGGGATAAGTGTGTAGTGACGTCATCTAATTCGCCTTCTCAGGCGGAGGGGATATAGTTCCGTCTCTCTCTCTCTCTTCTTGATTAATCCGTTAATAATGGGGCCCCTTTAAATGCCCGTATTCCCGGGAGTATGGGAGCGAGCAATAAGATGCTCCATTAATGCTGTTATTCTGGCGGGTTTCATTGTTTTGTTTTGTTTTTCTGTCTGGACTACATTTCCCGTGATCCTCCGCCAGATGTTCGGCTTGGTGAGCATCATGGGAAATGTAGTTCCCCACAGGTTGCCCTGCAGTTGTGACTGGTAGAAGCTGCAGCCAAGGAAGTGGGATTTCTGGAAACCTTACAATGGGATTTAATGTTAAAAAAAAAAATATATATATATATATATATATATATCTCTTAGAAAAATCAATATGAGGCAAAAATATACCAAAGTTATATTTCTCAAAATTAAAAAAATAAATAAAAAGTACTCACACTTTTTATTATTTTTGTTTAAGTTTATTCACTATAGTGTAAAATTGCTTTGAAACCTATATTTATCTAGTCAATATAGCCAGCTTGGTAAAATTCTCTAGTCATCCTATGGGTTAAATTTGACCGAAAATGAAATTTCTCAAAAACCTCACACTTTTTATATATATATATATATATATATATATATATATATATATATATATATATATATATATATATATATATATATATAATTTATTAATGTGGGGGGTGTTAATATTAATATGTAGATGCTGATTTTGTGACTAAATCCTGGCTATGGTTTATTCACTAAAGTGTAAATTGCTTTGAAAACTATATGTATCTAGTCAATATAGCCAGCTTCTCCTAGTCCTCTATGGGTTAAACCTGACTGAAAATGTGAGATTCACATTGACTTCCTATTAAATCATATAATACTGGGCAGCCCTGGGAGGTCCTGCTTTGTTTCTCACAGAGGAGTTTGTTCACTGAACATTGAATTAAATGTAGAAATACACATCTATCTAACATGAGAGGAATACCTCCAGCATTTCCTATCATTTGAACATAGCAAGAGAAGGAAAAAATGGGGTAATAGACAAAAACTGTACTGTTACGTCTGTATACAACTTTTTTGTATCTTTCCAATTTGCACCTACATGTGGCATTATTTGTGCCAAATAATTATTTTATTGCACCTTTTTCTATTTTTTTCCTTTTTCTCATTTGTGTTTTTTTGGGCGAGGGGGTTTGGTTTAAATCACAATTTTGTCAATCTTAAAGTATAAGAAGATGTTTCTGACACATTTTTCCACTATGTCCAGAATGGCAATTTTTTTTTTCTTTTACTTTTATTAAAAAAGCAACAGGATTTTATTTTTTATTTTTTGAAATAAATAAAAATGTTTCACCCCCTCTCCTCTCCCAGTAGTATTATTACTTATCCCTCTAGTAATTATTTTGGTGCACTTCAGAAAAGGTGGGGGAGAAAAAAAAAAGGCACCTCTAGATAAATGTAGAATTCTGGTCTTATACACCAAAAGATAGCGCACAAAACTAGTTCCTACATGAATGTAAACTTAATTCTTATACATCACTTAAAAAAATGACATTGCACAGGGTTTTACTAGTAGTTGTGCACATCCACTGTTATTCACTGGGTTGGCCAGCCTAAAGCAGGTGAAGACAAGTGATGGGCAATGTCTCATGCAAAGCTAGTTTCTGTATTGCCAAGTTCATTGCAGAGGAAGTTTTGCATGATGATGTTTAGTGTAGTAGAATTTTATATATATTTTATAGTTTTTGTATATCTATAAATATTAGACACCCAACATGTTTAACCAGGGGCATTTGGACACTTTTATGTTACCATTTAATAACCAGCTAAAACTGTTATATATTTTATTTTTCATTTTTTTTTTTCTGTTAATACTAATTGATATTGGGTAATGCAGATACAAACATTGACATCAGCTATATTGCTTGAGTCCTTTCCAGTTCTAGTTGGCCAATTTAAAAAGTTTTATTTTCTGCCGGCGGGGGGAGGTATTTCTAAAAGATTTATTATGTGGTTTTTTTATTTATTTATTTATATTTTCGCATTCCAAAAGTTCTAAACCTACCTGCCAGGAATGCCATCCTGTTCTTTGTTCATATATAGATACAAAAGAAAGACGGCTAAGTAGTAAAATTGACACCCTGGAATTTGCATGCATTGATCAGTCTCGTCACTTCTCTCTGCATCAAACATTTTTATGTAATCAGTAGAGGCCATGTTGGCCCAATCCCATTACTTTGAAAACGATCATCTATCTCTGCTGTGACATTGAAGTAAACTTATCTGCTTGCCTTCAGGATGTCAGCATACACCCCCGCCTCATGGTCTATAAGTGGCGTTTATTAAATATACAATATGTGCTGTACATGTACAGATACAAATGTTACTAAAGTAAAAATCTATCTAGACCAGGGGTTCCCAAATCATTTTTCCCATGGAACCCTTTGACATAGTATACCAACATCATGGAACCCCCGGAAAACAAATTGCGCCGTGGCTTTTTTATCATTTTCAAATATTTTGCTCATAAACTGTTTAGTGTTATGCTTTCGCTTAAAAAAAAGTCAATGTCTTTATCTTTGTACTCTGGGTGATTTTGCTCAAAATGACGACGTAATTTAGCAGGTGCTAACAAACTATTTGACAATATTATCTTGCAAACTAAGCATTGTGCCTAAGGTATGTTTTTATTTCTGGCACCTGTGAATCCAAATTTTAGGTAGCTGTCGTCATATTTCTTTTTCTTTGTTTGAGAAGAAGATTGGGTAGCATTGTGTGTATTTCTTTTTTTCTTTGACTTGTCACTTGTCTCTGCTATTTGAGGAACAGTAGATTCAACTATTTTGGACTTGATTTCTTGTTGTATCGTCTTAGTTTCTAAAATTTTTGAACAATTAGAAGTAGTTGCTCTTGATAGTTCCTTGTTTTAACCAGTTGTCCAAATTCATGGTTGTTGGTTGGTAAAAAAACAAAAAAAAAAACTTCTCTAACCTGAAAAAATACAGATCTCACTACCTGACTGCAATGGATGCTGTTTTTTATAATGCTCTTAGAAAGAAATTAATGTAAGAAGAATTTTGGAGCAATCTTGGAGCAAAAAGATTAGAACACTGTTAAACAGGTCTCACTACCAGACTGCAAAGGATGCTGTTTTTATAAAGCTCTTAGAAAGAAATTAACATAAGCAAGATTTTTTTCTCAATCATGGAGTAAAGAGAACACTTAACTACAGATTTCACCAAAGGATGCTGTTTTGTTAACAGCTCTTAGAATGAAATTTGTTTTCAAATTTACAGATTTCTACTGATAGTACGCAGAAAAAAAAAATACACTCACACATATAATTTTATATCGATCTCATGGAGCATTTATCAAAATAAATTAGATATTGCACTTGGATCAATATGCCAAGTCAGTGTAAGGCAGCTTAACACTAGAGGAGAGAGGAATGGGAGAATACTGAAGTAGAGAGGAGTAAAAGAATACAGGGAGGAAAGAGGAGTTAAGGAATCCTGGGAGGAGAGAGGAATGAAGGAATACTGGGCTGGTAGGAATTCTTACCTTAAATGACGCTGGGAGAATTGACACAGGACAGGCATGCATAAGTGTGTGGTAATCTCGCAATCTCTTTATAAGATCGCGGCCACGCAATATCTGCTGTTTCCGACCTTCCGGAAACAGCAGGGAGCTGCGGTCCTCTTGGATGGGGCAATTCACGGCGGAACCCCAATTGGGAAACGCTGATCTAGATCTACAGACTACCTTTTAAAAATGTGTATTGGCAAAGGTTGTGGAATTTAATGGCATTTTGTAGCAAGATGTGTGTGTATATGAAACTTCATGTCTGTTGAGTCTCTTAGTTCGATCATTGCTACACAATTACATTTGCTCTAGTATTTATAATCATTTTTTTCTGCAATATTTTTTTCTTTAACTGTATAAAATCAGCAACCTTTTGCATGTAGTGCAAAACTATGTAACATTATGGATGATCTGTATGAGTCCAGTTCATTTATTTCTATTTCATTTATTTATATCCATAAGTGAGTTATACACAAGGGAACTGGAAGAAACTGCAACAGGAAATCGGCACAAGGTTTTCTGGGGAGAAAGCCAAAACAATGTGCTATATTTGTTTTATAATTTGTGTTTTATGCTCATAGATGAAAGTTAGGCCTTTATGTTTCATTCTGTGTGTGAGAGAGAAATTACATGATATGAAAACATATTCTCCCTGCATTATTCTATTAATTCTTAGAGATAGTCATACAAATCTTTGGTATTAATGCTTTAGTGCTCCTGTCCCTTAGTTTATATGTGTTTCCCTTCCCCCATTTAACACAAGGCTCTCTTAGTGCTGCTTACCTTTTCTCCACCCACAGTGTAATGGAGCAGGCATGGCCTCCTCTGCCAATGACCAGTGCAATGCTCCTCACAGAGTAGCATTGGGGTCCTGATGTGCATCTCTTGAGTGCAGCACATGTATCAGATCTCACCATACTAAAGCATGGAATCGATCCAAAGCGGCAATGTTTACATTTCAGCCTTAAACATAAAGGATCATACTACCCAGGCCACTTTATTCAGTTGAAGTGGTCTGAGTGACTTTAATGGTCCTTTAACCCAGGAATTGAAGAGAGAACTTAAAGTACGGGGAAGAAAATGTTGTCCTGGTACACCCCTGCATGGAGGCACTCCGCTCTGTTTCAGAGGCCAGGTGCCCTTGGGGGACCTGAAGATCCGGTGCTGGTGGCAGCCATTGGGCTTAAACCTTTTTTCGAACAGTAACCCTACAAGGTGAGGATGCATCCATGCTAACTTAATTGTAAAATCATGTTATTCATAGATATGATTTTTAATTTGTGGTGTAACAACTTCTTGATCAAAGCAGCGATCTGACTGCCATTCTGGAGTCAAGAAGAATTTTTTTATTTTTTTATAGTTTGTTACAAAATTAGAAAGCGCTTCAAACTTTTTTTTTTTTTTGGCCTTCTTTTGGATGAACAGCAAAGGTTGAACTTGATGGACGCATGTCTCTTTTAAGCCTATGTAACCTAATTTAGATGAAGTTGTTATGGTGACTGGAGTCGGTGTATTCCTTTTAAATATGGCAATAGTGATGATATATTAGTTTTGATCTACACTTAGCGTGACAAATTTAATTCACCTCCAGTTACCACAGTTTTCTGTTCCTGCTCCTTCTTGTCTTGAGATACAAATGTGACTATGCTCAAAAGTTGTGTAGCTTGTTTTCCATTAGTATGGACATTGACCTTTTATTTATCCATAGTTTTCACATAAGTTTCATGTCGTCCCTCTCATTGGGTCTCCTGTTGTAGTAGTACTCAAGCAGGTGTAGGTTTTCACATCGTATCCATCAGTGGGTTGGTCCATTAGCCCACTTTTCCTCACATTGCTGACAGTGAGAGCAGTGTGGTCCCAGTCCAGTGGTGATAGGAGCACTGATGGTTGTAGTGCTTTCAGCTGACTCCAGGTGGGACAAACTTGTCATTTTGATGCAGTCTGTGCTTTAGCAGCTCATCAATTCAAATATGTCCATTCAAATCATGTATTTTTCAAAAATAAGACATATTGCCTGATCTCTCAGCAGTTTGATTATTATAATTTTTTTTTTTGCATATTCCATTGTGTCTGTAGATAAAATGCACAGAGAATGTGACAGTGAAGGTAATTACCTGTATTGTTTTCCTACTTTGCTATAAATATAACATATGTTAAATAAAACATGATGTAATCCAACATTAACGTATATGTAATGGAAGGGAGGTTGGAGCACTCTTTCTGTGTCTTGTTACTTCAAGAAACCTGTTTATGCTTTTTTTTTTTTTCTTCTTCTTAAAAATGTAAGCGTGTGTGCAGTAGCTATTGGCCTAATTAGCAGAGTTTAGTAATTTGGAACTCCTGTCAGAGACCATTATGTTAGCTGAAACACTAGATGGATTAAATCTAGTGCATTGACCTCATCGTTTTACTGTGCTCTGTAATCTGTACAAAAACCTTTGTGTTTGACTGCATTACATGTTCGAAACAAGTCTCTCTCACTTTTTTTTTTTTTAAATGTTTTTTTCTGTGTTTTTGAATAGTACGTAGTTCTAGATCGATGTTAAAAGCCTCTGCATTAATATACCAAGGGTGGTGAATACGAAGTTGTCCACTAATATGTGACCAAAAAAAGCTTACCAATAAGTAAAATTTCTGCTTGCCATATACACATTTTAAAGTGGTCTAGTCATTTTTTCACTTCTTGAGTAGTACATAGACATGCCTGGCATAATCTCACAAATGATTACCAGCCAGAAAAACAAAGTTACTGGCCAGTTGGGGGGAGGTAGGGATACTAGACCTCTCAGTGTAGTTTCTGTGACAAGTTTAAGCTGTGTGCATGTGTGTCTGCTTAGAAAGTAATTAGATGGATGTGAAGAGAGTAGAGATTGCAGCTTTTCAGATGCTGACAGGAAGTCAATCGCTTTAAGCCGATAGCTTCAGCAAGGGGTTGTATTTTAATTCTCTTACCGATACAGACTGTGAGCTACAAACTAAAATATATAGTGATTGGCTGAGTTTAACTGCTTGGCTGCCAAAAAGGCTTGTCAGTGTATCTTTTAACACCCTGGCAATAGAAAGGTTAATTGGTGCTTGCCTGCATCATGTTAGTATTTTCACATCTTAATTACTTTCCAAGAAGAAACCTGTATTATATCATTTTCCCTTTAACAAAAATGCAATGCATATCACAGACAGTCTCTGTGATGCTGGGTCCAATCGTTATCTGTGGCTCCAGCTATTGGCTTAAAGCTATTGACTGCCTGACACCATCTGCAAGGCTGCAATCTCTACTCTGTTCAGATCCATTCAGCACCCGACTTGAGTCAGTGAGCAGGCTATCTTTGCTTTAAGCAGAATCGGATCTTGTTAACCTAGTTCAATCATAGTAATACAGATCGCTATATGCTCTCGTTTGCAGCATTGCACGGCAGATAACTGAGCAGCATTGAATCTAAATGGAACTTTGAAAGCAAACAAAATAGGAGACATGTTAGGAATATATTTATCACATCAAGTGCTGGATCAAACTTGAACTCTGTTTTTGATTTTCCTGCAATTAGAAAAGGTCACTTTCACTTTTTTTGTAAAAGAAACATTTCAGTTTTTGTTTTGTGTGGGTTTTTTTTTAATTTTTTTTTATTTTTTTTTAAATACATCTTGGATAACTGGTTATTTCAGAATATTGTGAACCACTTTAAGCTGCACGACTGCACAGAATAAATTACTGATGGTCGATGCCAAAGGGAAGAACATGAAATGTCTTACTTTTTTTTTAATGCTTCCAGAAACTGTAAAGAACAGATCGAAAAAAGGCCCTAAAAAGGTGAGCCCAAGTAACAGCAGTAGCATTAGTAGCAGCAGCAGCAGCAGCAGCAGCAGCAGCAAGTTGCCTCCAGTTTGCTATGAAATAATCACCTTAAAAACCAAAAAGAAGAAGAAGATGGCTGCTGAGATATTCCCTAATAAGAAACCGGCAAACAGCAATTCAAACTCAGCTCAACAATATCACCAGCAAAATCTCAATAATAACAACACCATCCCATCCCCGAACTGGCAGGGACTTTATGGGACCATTAGAGAAAGGTAAGCTGGGGTGTGCTACTTTTAACACTGTTCTTTTCAATATAAACTGTTCTATATATTCTCCTCATTCCCCCTCCAAACTATGCTTGGTGTTTATAAGAAATTTGTATTTTACCTGGTATCATTTTTCTGTGTTTTAGAAATGCTATAATGTTCAACAATGAATTGATGGCAGATGTTCATTTTGTGGTGGGACCACCAGGTGGGACCCAGCGCTTACCAGGACACAAAGTAAGTTGTAGTTTTCCAGCAATTGAAATGCTGATATTACTGTTCTATAACATATCCTATTTTTTTTTTTTTTTATATATATATATATATCTCTTCAAAATACTTTTTGCTGTCTTGGTAAAATGCACATTGTAGTTATTGTCGTGCCGAATGTTTCTTTCATTTTTCTTGTTTTGTTAGCTTGTTTTTAGGTAATACTATGCTTTCATGATATGTGATCCTATTGCGATCATCTTTTAAGCTTCCCTTTTTCCTTCAGTATGTTTTAGCTGTTGGAAGCTCAGTGTTTCATGCTATGTTTTACGGAGAGCTTGCTGAGGACAAAGATGAAATTCGTATACCAGATGTTGAACCTGCAGCTTTTCTTGCTATGCTGAAGTAAGCATTATTCCTGTATAATAGTGTTTGGCAGATATTCTGTAAACGCAGTTATTCTACATCACCTGTTTCATCAAAGTATATTAGGCTAGCACAGTTTAAATTCAAGGCTATGACATTTCATATTGATAAATATAATTGTAACTAATAAATTGATAAATTTAGTGAACTAGTGTGGATTTTCCCCTAGCTACTAACATTTTGGAAAGAGTAATGACAAGCCCAAGGTGAATCTTTGGTGCATAAATATATTTAGATTTTGGAGTGCATAAAAAAAGATCTTGTACATGATGTTGTTCAAATTAGTTTTGTTTACTGGTGTGAATGGTGCATAGAAATTCCAAAGTATGACAAGCCTGCATTGCTAAAATGAACTGCAACATATCTGGTTATACTTAATCTTTGTCACAGTCACACCAGTATGTATTTATACTGTAAGAATTTGTGCTGTTATGGTAACATAACTGAAACTAATGTCCGTATCCTAACTAATTAAACTTAGACTCTATTGTATAGGCAAGCTTGGTAGGTGACAATAATTTTATAGAACCTTCTATGGCTTTTAATTTTAAGGATCCTAAGGATGTAGTAAGGGGATGGAACCTGTATGTATGAACATTATTACATTCCAAAAGGGGCAAATAAAATAACTTTTTTAAATATTATTTTTATTCTCCCCCCCCCTTTTTTTGCAGGTATTTATATTGCGATGAAATCGACTTGGCTGCTGACACGGTTTTGGCAACACTGTATGCTGCTAAAAAATATATTGTTCCTCACCTTGCCAGAGCATGTGTTAACTTCCTAGAAACTAGTCTCAGTGCAAAGAATGCTTGTGTTCTACTCTCTCAAAGCTGCTTGTTTGAAGAACCTGATTTGACCCAGAGGTGTTGGGAAGTGATTGATGCACAGGCGGAACTTGCTTTGAAAAGCGAAGGCTTTTGCGACATTGACTTTCAGACGCTTGAAAGTATCCTTAAAAGAGAGACTTTAAACGCCAAAGAAATTGTTGTCTTTGAAGCAGCCCTTTGTTGGGCTGAAGTCGAATGTCAGCGTCAAGAATTAACTCCTACTATAGAGAACAAGAGAAAGGTCCTTGGCAAAGCCCTCTACTTAATTCGTATCCCCACCATGGCATTGGATGATTTTGCAAATGGAGCTGCACAGTCAGGAGTTTTGACACTAAACGAAACAAATGACATTTTTCTCTGGTATACAGCAGCTAAGAAACCAGATTTAGAGTTTGTTAGCAATCCCAGGAAAGGTTTGGTTCCTCAAAGATGCCACCGCTTCCAGTCGTGCGCCTACCGTAGCAACCAATGGCGCTACAGAGGTCGTTGTGACAGCATTCAGTTTGCTGTGGATAAAAGGGTATTTATTGCAGGATTTGGCCTCTATGGTTCAAGTTGTGGGTCAGCTGAATACAGTGCAAAAATTGAACTGAAACGTCAGGGTGTGATTCTAGGACAGAATCTAAGCAAATATTTTTCAGATGGATCTAGCAACACTTTCCCAGTTTGGTTTGAGTATCCAGTTCAAATTGAACCAGACACCTTCTACACAGCCAGTGTGATTCTCGATGGCAATGAGCTGAGCTACTTTGGACAAGAAGGAATGACTGAAGTGCAGTGTGGAAAAGTAACTGTACAATTTCAGTGCTCTTCTGATAGCACAAATGGGACAGGTGTCCAAGGAGGACAAATCCCTGAACTTATTTTCTATGCCTGATAGCAAATTTTATGAAAATGAATGGGCAAAACATCAGTTTTGTACAGGAATGTTTAATTTGTCTCTGATCACATATTCCTACATCAGTGCTTATTTTTTTTTTGTTTACTATTGGTATATAGTTGAGTTGCACAGTTTGTTTATAATTTATATTTCAAAGTTTCTATTTACTTTTGTGTTATACATTGGAAATATTTTGTTACCATTTTTTACCTAAATAATAGGATTTAACTACCTAGAGTTTGTAACAAATGCATCTGTATATCACATTAAACAAAGCAAATGTAAATTAACATTTTACTTATAAACATTTTTAATATGTATATATGGAAATAGACTCTCTAACATATAGAAATGTTTAACATCAAAACTCTGTGAAAAACTTTAACTGTATTGTTTTTTGTCCTCTCCTCCCCCCATGTCCCTCCCAAAGCTCAAGGTTACACTTTTAGCATAAACAAATGTACCAACCACAGGTGTATTATGCTACAAATATTACATATGTAGGTGATATAACTATAGGGGCGCATTTATTGTTTTGGGCCTTGTTCCTCAAGAGACATTGGTACTGGTGCATGTCCTACATTTCTATGTTTATACCATTTTTCTAACTGTTGGGAAAGAAAGAGAATCCAGTGTGTATTTCAGACACCAGGTATGATGTCTTGTCTCATTCAATATTTGCTAATGTGGAAATGCAAGTACTAACTAAAAGTTAGTTCCAGCCTTTGAACTTTTCTCTTGCTTCTTGTGCCAGGAATAGTGCTCCACAGACAAACTGTAGTCCCCACAAAGTTTGCAATACATTATTGTAGCTAATGCACAACAGCGTTAAAATCTACATATGACAAAATTTGCATCACCAGTCCCCGCCTACCAGTGACTCCATGCTTAAGTGCACTGGTGTAGTGGCTGTTAGTGCTACATCTGTAGTCTAAACTGCAAAGGGCTCCATGAAACCATGAAAGATTTAAATAGAGGATCATAGAGCGACAATGTGATGAACCTTTATTAAGAAAAAAAATTGCACATATATTTTTACCATGAAAGGATATTGTGCCTCTTATTTTATCTCTATAAATATTTCTAGTTTAATTATACCATGTAAATGATGTAGCAGAGCCTACTTTATTTATTGCACTCCTGTATGTTGGAATGTTTAACGGTGTATTGTATCTTTTTAAAACAAATTTTATTAGTTTTTTTTTTTCAGTGACAATTTTGTTAAAGTTCTCATCTACTTTTTAGAACAGATGTGTTTTCAGTTTATTGCACAGCTGATGGTTTCGGTTGAACATCTGCATGGTGTGTCACTTATGACTTATGATTGGAGTTCATTTCCCTGAGCCAGCAATTTCGAATATCTTATCCCTGCTTTGGAAAGGATGCGTCCATTAAGCAGATATGGGTTTGACACTAAATGCACACAAAAGGGGGAGATTTATTAAGGCAAAAAAGGTGCTATGTTTGGTGCAACGGTTAATGCTGAGATACATTTTATCAGTATCTATAGCGATTGCACCGTTTGTTTCCAAAAGAAACATTTATGTTTGGTTTTATTTTGGTATTTTATTTTCTTTAAAATTTGTTTTCATTTTTTTTTTTTCAGTTTATTTACATGGTTTGATGTTCTATTTAAGTTTTTACCACCAAATAAACCGATCCATTAAAAAATTAACAGCAATATTGTTATTTTTTTATTTTATTATGAATGTAATTTGAATGTACACTTCAGGAGAAAAAGAAACAAATTTAGCTTTATTTTTAATGTTTACTTTTTAAAAGCACATATGAACCTGAACCATAAAACATTCTAATTTTGTATCAGTGTTTATTGCAGCCCAAATCCTGTAACTAGCTCAATGCTTGAACAATTCATGTGCCAAAAATGAATTTGAGACAATCTTATATGTCTCCTGTATTTCTCCACCACAAACTTGCTTGAGGCATTACAGTGACAGTAGCCCACATATAGTCATCATATGACCTTGGCAGTCTAACTTAATTTACAAGACGCATCACTCAGAAACATCAGATTCCAATATGACATTACTATATCACCTCCAGTTAAAGACGTATTTATTTATTTATTGTCAGAACTAAATTGAGCTTTTATAAAACAACTTTTTTTGTGTGTGTGTTTGTTTTAATAACCTGCGCATTTACTGACCGCAAGGAAACTGTAATTACATATTACATTTTTGTTGTTTACTTCTCTGCTAATGCATTATTTTTGTCTTTTAGTGTACCATTACCAAAACTGTTCTTTAGTAGTTTTATGAAATACAATGGCCCTTATTTCCAGACATACTCATAATATTTGATTCATTTACATCATCAGTCACAAATAATTGTAATTGTCAAGGTAATTTTTATTTTTTTGAGAATTGTACAAATATCTCATATAGATACTTTTTATGTTTCTTAATGTTAAAATGTAACAGCCAAGTAAAATGTGAAATTCTAACCTCCACACCCTTTCTTCCCCTCCAAAAAAAAAGGACATGGCTTTTAAATTTTGCTCTAATTCCAGATATATAATAGCATTACACGATACCACAGCAATATATAAATACGCTGTGTTTACCAGTAAAAAGTAATAACATACTAAATAGGAATGAGGAGGGAGCTACTACGGGTTCATCTCCTGGAGTTTTATCCATGTCCCGGGCAAGTGAATTGGGTTAGCAGTAATGTCAATTCTTTCAGTTTGTCCTATAGTCTGATCATGCATGGGCACTAGAACCACTGGATATAATTTATTTCTAGCATTACCTGTATCCATATCTGGATAAAGCCAAATATCACAAGTTGTAACAGTTTATGGTGCTTGAAAAGGCTGTGGAACAAATATATAAAACCCGCAGCCCATTTAAATCGCCCATTTAGTTCCTGTGCAATACTGCTCTATAGAAGCAGAAAGGTGCTCTTTTTAATGTTAGCTTTTTTTATTTTGGGTGGCTTTGTCCATTAAACAGACAATATAAATTATGTACATATTGGAACTCTTTCATGCCAGATCTGAAAGTAACATTGATTGTACCCTGAGTGTAGGTATAGTAATGGAATATTTAAAATTTAAATTACATCCAATTTCTTATTAAAACAGGATCTACATCGCTAAATTATGAGTATGGTAATTAATGTTTCTCCAATCGTACAATCACGCAGGGCCGGCCTTAGGCCTTCAGGCGCCCTGTGCGAAAAATCTTAACAGCCCCCCCCCCGCCATCCATGTGTATAGGGGATTTATTAAATGAAAATTTAACAATTAACAAATATTTATCACCTCTTCCCTGTCATTACCTTGCATGGAGGGAGGGCATGCTGATCTCTGGTGATACAGTTTGCTGGGAATATGGTCGGTGCCTTCACTGGGTGCAGACCATCAGCAACTGTCTCCTGAGCTCAGGCACTTACAGTATCAGAGCTTTCCTGTGGTAATCCGCGGCAACGTTCTGATTGGCCGGAACTCGGAAGACAGCTACATTTATCATGTGTGTGTCAGACGTGATTGTGTGATGTGTTCTCTGTGTGCCATATTTGTAATGGGTGTATTGACTGTGTCTGATATGTGTGTGTATTGACCGTGTGTGATTTTTGTTCACTATAGCAGTAGATAGGGGGAGCAGGGGCACTGGGGTAGATGTGGGAGCAATGCACTATAGCAGTAGATAAGGGGAGCAGTGTCACTAGGGTAGACAGGGAACAATGGCAATATAGGGGGAGCATGGGCACAATAGGGATAGATAAGGAGCATGGGCACTATAGTTGTAGATGGAGGGATCAGGTACACTATAGGGGTAAATGGGGAAGCACTATAGGGGTAGATGGGGAGCAGGGGTGCTATAGGGGTAGATCGAGGAGCAGGGGCACTATAGAGGTAGATAGGGGGAACTATAGAGATAGATGGGGAACATGGGTACTATAGGGGGAGCAGGGGCACTATAGGGATAGATGGGGAACAGGGGTACTATAAGGGGAGCAGGGGCACTATAGGTGTAGATGGGGGCACTATAGGGATAGATGGGGAACAGGGGTACTATAGTGGGAGCAGGGGCACTGTAGGGATAGATGGGAACAGGGGTACTATAAGGGGAGCAGGGGCACTATAGGTGTAGATGGGGGCACTATAGGGATAGATGGGGAACAGGGGTACTATAAGGGGAGTAGGGGCACTATAGGGGTAGAGGCAGGCATTATAGGGATAGATGGGGAACAGGGGTACTATAAGGGGAGCAGGGGCACTATAGGTGTAGATGGGGCACTATAGGGGTAGAGGGGGCACTATAGGTATATATGGGGAACAGGGGTACTATAGGGGTAGAGGGGGCACTATAGGGAACAGGGGTACTATAGGGGTAGAGGGGGTCACTTTAGGGGTAGAGGGGGAACAGGGTTACTATAGGGGTAGAGGGGGGCCCTATAGGGATAGGGGGCACTATAGGGATAGATGGGGAACAGGGTTACTATAGGAGTAGAGGGGGCACTATAGGGATAGATGGGGAACAGGGTTACTATAGGGGTAAAGGGTGCACTATAGGGGAAGAGGGGGGCACTATAGGGATAGATGGGGAACAGGGTTACGATAGGGAAGAGGGGGCACTATAGGGGAAGAGGACGGCACTAAAGGGATACATTGGGAACAGGGTTACTATAGGCGTAGAGGGGGGCACTATAAGGATAGATGGGGAACAGGGGTACTATAGGGGTAGAGGGGGCACTATAGGGATAGATGGGGAACAGGGTTACTATAGGGGTAGAGGGTGCACTATAGGGGAAGAGGGGGGCACTATAGGGATAGATGGGGAACAGGGTTACTATAGGGGTAGAGGGGGCACTATAGAGATAGATGGGGAACAGGATTACTATAGGGGAAGAGGGGGGCACTATAGGGATAGATGGGAAACAGAGTTACGATAGGGAAGAGGGGGCACTATAGGGGAAGAGGTAGGCACTAAAGGGATACATTGGGAACAGGGTTACTATAGGGGTAGAGTGGGGCACTATAGGGATAGATGGGGAACAGGGGTACTATAGGGGGAGCAGGGGCACTATGGTCTCACTTACCAGGCAGCAGATTCAGGCCTCGGTTAGCTCCGCCCCCGCCGACCACTTGGCTCCGCCCCCATCGGCTGCTTGGCTCCGCCTCCTACAGTCTCTTTCGCTGCTAAGCCCTGGTAGAGGGCAGGGGGTGTGCAAGCTGTGTCAGCCATAGGGCGCCCCCTGCTGCCATGGCGCCCTGTGCAGCCGCACAGCTCGCACACCCCTAAGGCCGGCCCTGCAATCACATATAACACAACTTAAGGCACCATATATCTGACTGAACTGACCCTCTGACATATAATTCTGGTAGGCTAACCGTATGATTGCTGCTAATATATTGCTTTTTGTTCTCATGAATGTTTGGTGTAAGCCCTATGTGGCTCACAACTTGGTGTTATTCCCACATAAAGACAGAGGTGGGGTTACTGCAGTAACCAAAATACACAGAAAATATCCACAAATGCTCACTGTTGTGCTAACCCTTCCCTCTGTAGCTCAAGGCAGGGTAAATTAAATGCTAAATGGAAAGAATGGAGATTTCAGTGCATCCTGTAGTGTGAAGTGCCACATAGAGCTTTATTTAAAGAACAAACATCTACAAGCACTTTGGGTTGCCCCTTTACCAATGCCATTTGCCCTTTTATCAATGCCAAATATCAAAGCTGGTTTTAAGTCATTGGATCTTTTTAAATATTTACAAATTAGATTTTCAGTATGTATAATGTTATGGAGTTTGGTCATTTGCAATTTATGTTTTATTTATTTTTTTTTTGTCCCAAAGTAGTAGAACCTCTTCAACATTCTTCAGCCTTTTTTACATATCACCATAACACGTCAGAGTGAAAGAGTGAAACTGTGTACCCCCTAAATATTATTGGGGACATTTACATAGAAACATTGATAAATTGGCAACCTGAAACTGTGTGGATATTCTTTGTCCTTCAAATAAAGCTGAATGTAGCACATGTTTTTGCACTTGTACCTTCATATTTTCTTTCTATTTTCCAGTCATTTCTGTGCAAGCCTCTCAAGGTAATGCATGAGCGTTGCATGTCTACATGGTTGCATTGAGAATTCAACCCACATAAGGTGTGCCTCATTCCTCTACTATTGTTTGAAGTTACAAAATAAAGCAAACCAGTTTTTGTCTCAAAACTAAGTAAATGTATGCATGCGTTCTTACATTACACTGGCATCTGCATGAGGAGTTCTGGAGTTTTCTTGATTTAAAGAATACTGTTTTAAAAAAAAAAAAATAAGTCCTTCAAATCAAAGGAACACTGATAATATTCAAGCCACACCATAACATTTAAACAACTAAGTTACTAAATGTAAACAGCCTTTAAATGGAACGAAAGGGGTGGGTTTTTTTGCGTGGGGGGATTAGTTTTTTTTTTTTTTAATATTACAGTGATGAGTGCCATGATGTGTCCCACCCCACCTCCTTCAGTTTAAATTATTAACCTGTTTTAGAACAGTTTTCCTTTATACCTAAGGTCTGGAGGGCATTACCTGTCTCCACTACAGTCTACAGCAGTACGAGAGCCAGAAACACATAGATGTTTGAGCTAACCTAGCGGTGCAGGGGTTAGCTCATTGACTAATAGTGATCAGCTTACACTCTTAACCAATGAGCTGTCTCAGGAGACCTGTGCTTAAGCAGGCATTTTTGGATCTCCTACTGGTGAGTGGGGGCCTCATGAACCCAAAGTAAGAAGTCAAACTGTTCTAAAATGGCATGACTACTTACCATGGGGTGGGTGGCTGTGGTTATGCTGTTTGGAGGTCTCTTAAATTTACATAATCTTCTATAATTTCTATTACTGTAATCGTGTTGCCGCACTGTGACCATATCAACATATCTGTAGTAGTGAATTCCTGACTTACACTGCCATTTAATTAAATCAAGATTTGTGACAAGTATGCATATATAAAAGTCAGGAACCTTATAATCTATATAGGCCATGAAAATGGGAATTATGTATACAAAGAAAAATGTATTCCTCTGATTTGGTGTTTGTCAGGGCAAGAAAATGTAAACATTACATAGTAATGGAGCACATGATTATAGATTTAAATAATATACAAAGTTTGGTTTGTGTATTTTATGGTAAAAATATGCATTGGAAGAAGTGGTTATTATATATTCTGATTGTATAATTAAAGTATTGGTGTTACATTAAAAAAAAAAAAATAACTCCACACCTTGCACTGGTAGGTGTGATCTCTCCAAGAGTTATTTCTGTCTTATAGGGCTCTCCAATTATTTTCCAGACCAGGTTTCTCATCTCTTTTAATTAGGCCTTGAAATAATATGTGACCAAGGACACTGCTCTAGATATTAAAATTCTTTATCTCAGTGTCTGTTATTTTTTTATCGTGCATAAATCACAATTAGAACAATTTGTGTGTTACCAGACCTACCTTGATTCCCACCCACGAGACGAGTTATTGTGGAGAAAGCACTGTAATCACTGCAGTTATATGTTGCTTCATGCAATGTGATGTCTAATTTAATGAGCATATACCTAACCCCAATATATCCACATGTGATACCTTCTAATTGCATCTACACTTCTTCACTTACTTATAGCAACATTAATGAGAGATGGTGTATTTTTTTTATAAAGTGCACTGACTTACTGTCCGCATTTAAATAGGATGTGAAACAAATCTATTATAATTAGTGCTTCATCAAAAATGTTAAATGGGCAATAGAAAAATTGACATTAAATTGTATATTGAGTTCATAAGGTTTCCACTGCACCATGTTCTTAATATACATGGGACAGGTCTGTCAAATAAAGAAAACATATGTCCTGTACAAACTATGTATCCCAACATTCTTGAACTAAATTCAGTTAAATAGATGGTGTTGGCTCATTGGTTATACATATACTTGGTTAATCAAAGTTATTCAACAGTGTAAATTGTGAATTTCAAATTTTAGGACAGATTACAAAAATGTTTATTCAATGGCAAATGACCACAGATATCTATTAATTACACGTACAAACTCTTTATACAAGTAGTGTATACTTGCTCTCCTTCACTATACACAAGAAAAATAAATGATGCTATGTCTTTTTTACTGTGATAAATGATATTGCTGCGCAAGTTATTTTATCATCATTTCAGATCACTTGTTTTTCTGTGACATTCATTTTATCAGTTCATATATTCCAGTAAAAATGACTACATTGTTACCCTAACAAGTTTAAACATGAAAAACAGCCATTGGATTTTTTTTTACACATTTCTTTTACTCTCCATATATCATTGTCCAGTGGATTTCCACGTGTTCTTCAGTTGCCTAGGTGCAGAATAACGAGAATGTAGGTTAAAAAAGATTTCATACGCAGTGTTCAACCTTGCTCATCTGATTCTTCATAATTTGTAGAACTGTCACAAAGCATTACAATGATTTCCTTTAAAATCTCTACAATATCATACAAAAGAGATTCATGTTTAAAATCATTTATATTTAGTTTTTCTTTACAGTAGTTTTTGAATAAACAAACAGCTTGCTCAATACCTTTAACCCCTTAAGGACCAAACTTCTGGAATAAAAGGGAATCATGACGTCACACATGTCAAGTGTCCTTAAGGGGTTAAACATGCCGCCTATTTTGAATCACTTTGCTTAATAAATTGCCTTGCCCTCATCTGGCCAAGGACTCAATTTTAATTCATCTGAAAAGTGGTTTTTCTTTTACAACAAAATGAATCAACGTCAGAAATTATTCTAAGCAAATTAAATCAAGGCCCCAGTTTGAAACAACCTGTTCCGGTAGATTAGTGTGTATATAACAGTAAAATATATATATATATATATTTTACTGTTATAGAAAATTACTCTTTAGTCAAAGCTGGTTTTAAGTTGTCGAATCTTGGCAATGGTGTATGTTTCTCTAAAAATTGTCACAAATTTGGTTTTCAATATGTATAATGTGTGGGGTTTGGTAATGTGGGTTTAGTTTGTGTTCCGAGGTGGTAGAACTTGATTGAAACAGTTTATTTTTGAAAGCAAAGCTCACAAATGTTCAACTACTGGAAGATCAATACGACATACTTGGTGATGGATTTCATCACATGTTACCTTACCTCATACTTTCATTAACATATTGCAGTTCTGATTTTGGGCTACTAAATGTTTGAATGTAAATGATCTTATCAAACTAATAAACACAAATGATTTTAATTCATAACTTGTGAATTTGTTTTTTACTTATTAACAATTTAACTTTTTTTTTTAATGCAGAATGCTCACTTCTTTAGATATCACATTATGAAACAAAACATTAAAAATCAACTATAACTTGTGTTAACCTTAATTTTTGTGTGATTTCTAGAGTTGAGCGGACACTTGGATGCCTCTTAAGTCCTGGAAAGGGCTCGAGGGCTGCAAAAGGAAGTAAAATGGGGGTAAGAGTAGGACAAGTGCACTGCAAACAAATGTGGATAGGGAAATCACTTACAATAACATAAAAATTTAAAAAACAGCTGAGCCATAAAATAGCACTAGATGGAATCTTTGATTTTAGCTTTGGAAGAACATAAATCAAAATCTAAAGCATGGCTTTCAGGAGGATCACGAGAATTATCCATTTGAGAGAGGGTTGGAGTGCAGGGTATTCTCTGTCATTGTTCAAACTGAGCTCAACTCCTGATGCATGGAGAAAAGGCGTTCACAAGCCTCTGCTATTGTGTACATAGTTTATACTAAGTGACCCATAGGTTGAGGAGGTAGCCAACACTGTTTTTTTATATATTTTATTTTTTATTTTAATTGGGGTAGACCCCAAAATATTGGGACATATAAAAAAAAAGAAAGATTTGCGGCCTGCGGTGCATTTCTTGCAGTCCTGATGCATGGAAAAATGCTCAACTCCTGATGCATGGAGAAAAGGCCTTCACAAACCTCTGCTATTGTGTACGTAGTTTATACTAAGTGACCCATAGGTTGAAGAGGTGGTGACCGTGTAGGTGGAAGCGGCGCTGGAGGAGGAGGTAGCTATCACTGGTTTTTCTATATATTTTTTTATTTTAATTGGGGTAGCCCCCAAAATATTGGGACATATAAAAAAAGAAAACTCTGTTCTGCAGAGCGACTGACCCGTGCGTGCTGCAGCTGAAACTCTACTATCACCTGCTGCTGCTGCTCGCACAGTCTCATGAGGCGGTGAGCGGGAAGGCCGAAGATACGCTGCAGCGCAGACAGGCGAGCAGCAGCAGGGTGAGAACACCAAAAGCGCGCACAGATGGCCCGCACTTTCTGTAGCAGCTCTGATATATCTGGGTAGTTTTTCAGGAATTTCTGCACCACCAAATTCAGCACATGCACCAGGCAAGGGATGTGCGTCAAACTGGCTAGGCGACGAGATTTCGCCCATTATCGCACACCACCAGGCTGGGCTTGAGGCTCAGTGGCAACAACCACTCATCGGTCTGTTGTTCCATGCCCGTCCACAGCTCCTGCACGGTGTGGGGTTTTTCCCCCAAACATATGAGTTTGAAAACAGCCTGCTGTCGTTTCCCCCTGGCTGTGCTGAAGTTGGTGGTTAAGGTGTTACACTGACCGGATGAGGAGGTGGTAGAGGAGGAGGAGGAAACTAATAAACACAAATGATTTTAATTCATAACTTGTGAATTTGTTTTTTACTTATTAACAATTTAACTTTTTTTTTTTAAAGCAGAATGCTCACTTCTTTAGATATCACATTATGAAACAAAACATAAAAAATCAACTATAACTTGTGTTAACCTTAATTTTTGTGTGATTTCTAAAGTTGAGCGGACACTTGGATGCCTCTTAAGTCCTGGAAAGGGCTCGAGGGCTGCAAAAGGAAGTAAAATGGGGGTAAGAGTAGGACAAGTGCACTGCAAACAAATGTGGATAGGGAAATCACTTACAATAACATAAAAATTTAAAAAACAGCTGAGCCATAAAATAGCACTAGATGGAATCTTTGATTTTAGCTTTGGAAGAACATAAATCAAAATCTAAAGCATGGCTTTCAGGAGGATCACGAGAATTATCCATTTGAGAGAGGGTTGGAGTGCAGGGTATTCTCTGTCATTGTTCAAACTGAGCTCAACTCCTGATGCATGGAGAAAAGGCGTTCACAAGCCTCTGCTATTGTGTACATAGTTTATACTAAGTGACCCATAGGTTGAGGAGGTAGCCAACACTGTTTTTTTATATATTTTATTTTTTATTTTAATTGGGGTAGACCCCAAAATATTGGGACATATAAAAAAAAAGAAAGATTTGCGGCCTGCGGTGCATTTCTTGCAGTCCTGATGCATGAAAAAATGCTCAACTCCTGATGCATGGAGAAAAGGCCTTCACAAACCTCTGCTATTGTGTACGTAGTCTAGGAGGAGGAGGCAAAGCGGTGTACCCAAATAAAGATTGTCAAACGTTGTATCTTGGAACTGTGTCCCATCCGGTTACTGGGGAAATGGGTCTGACCTATTCTAATCAAAGGGGATAACCATCGGTTACCCAGGTCCAGCTTCAATTGGTGGCAAGCGGCGGAATCCCATGTCCCTGCTAACAGACCCATTCCTATAGTGCTCTAAAGCGACCTACACTGCAGGACTTGTGTGGAGCCAGAGGAAAAATACCTGGTGGGCGTAACAAGGCCAAATTGACTGCTGCGCTCATGGGGACGACCAGGCACGCAGTGAGGCAACAAACCCCAGCCAGGGGCCGGAGATGAGGAGGAAGTGCGCAAGGAGGTGGAACGGCGCCTGGCATATTACCGAGAGCCACTCTCAGAGGAGATTGTCAGCAGGACCTTTTTGGAGGTGCAAGCCTATGTCCTTGCCAATAGACAGAGGGCGACCTCCATGAACCCAGATGAAGGAAGAAGGGAGCAGAGGGCACCGGGAAGCACAACCACCCTGGCCCACAAGCCATACAGTGCCTTCAAAGAGTTCAAGGAAGCAGAAGAAGGCATTGATTACTTTTTACAAGACTTTGAGCGCCAGTGCCTACTCCAAGACGTGGACCCCAGCGACTGGGTCACCATCCTGGCCACCAAACTAGTTGGGAAGGCAGTGAATATTTACCGGGCTGTACCAGAAAAGCAGATCAGAGAGTATCCCTTTATTACCCAAATCCTCCTGGCCCGGTATGCGGTCACCCCCAAGCAATACCGCCGAAAGTTTAGGGAGACCTGGAAAGGGGAGAAGGACTCCCATGCGGAATGGGCATGCTGCATCACAAGGGCCACCCATGCTAGAGCACTTTTTCAATAGGCTCCCCAACGACAAGGCGACGACGAATTCATATGTCATCCATATCAACTTTCGATGCCACTTACTGCGCCTACCATGGTGACCATGGGTAACGGGGAATCAGGGTTCGATTCCGGAGAGGGAGCCTGACAAACGGCTACCACATGCAAGGAAGGCAACAGGCGCGCAAATGACCCACTCCCGACATGGGAAGGTAGTAATGACAAATAACAATACAGGACTCTTTAGAGGCCCTGTAATTGTAATGAGTCCACTTAAAATCCTTTAACTCTGATCAATTGGAGGGAAAGTCTGGTGCAGAGCGACTGACCCGTGCTGCAGCTGAAACTCCACTATTGCCTGCTGCTGCTCGCACAGTCTCTCCAGCATGTGCAAGGTGGACCTTGTGGGCATGTCGCATATTAGGCGGTGAGCGGGAAGGCCAAAGTTACACTGCAGCGCAGACAGGCGAGCAGCAGCAGGGTGAGAACGCCGAAAGCACGCACAGCCACTACAGTGAATGTCACATCCTGTTCCAAGTTGCGGATCAGTCTGGTGATGGCTTCTGGTATCCAGTACTCTTTTTACTGAAGCTGCAACAGAGTCCTGGTATGTGGCCACACAAACGCTGGTGCTCAACACCAGGGGGCGTGCGGTTACCCTGCACCGGACCCTGCTAATCCATTCCACACTATGACTCCTAACTTCAACATCAGGCATACTGGATCCCGGTCGTCCGACCGCCGCCCAGACAATGTCTGGGTCACGGTCACGGACTGCAAAACTGCGATTGGCTCATTAAATCTGTTATGGTTCCTTTTATTGCTCCATCTGTTACTTGGATAACTGTGGGAATTCTAAAGATAATACATGCCGACGAACACTAGGGGACAGCTGATCCGCTTTTGCAACCTGCTCCCTCTTATGCTGTTCTGGTGCCTCTGTGCGACCAGCGTCTCTTCCTCCAAACTCCACACATCACTCGCATGACCATGATTCCATGTGGGGTCTAGGACCACATCATCTTCCACCCACTCCTCAACCCTGTCCTCCTTGCCGGTCTGCACACTGCAGAAAGCCACAGCAGTTGGCATCTGTGTTTTTCCAGCATGTAAAGTCTGCAAAGGACATATGGAAATTGTTTTAGAATTGTATCCAGACAACAGTTTTCCCCTATAAACTGACCACTCAGTTTGACTTGTGAGAGTATTGCCCCCGAATTACTATATTGTTATATTGGTATTTGACGGTTCTATTTGACTGTCAGATATGAAGTGCAGGCCGCAAATGTACTATTTAGCACCCAAATTTTTTTTAATTTTTCAAAGTGCGCTGAAAGCACAGTATTTGACGGTTCTATTTGACTCTCAGATATAAAGTGCACACCCCAAATTTACTTTTTATCACCCAAAACAATCTGAATTTTTCAAAGTGCGCTGAAAGCACAGTATTTGACGGTTCTATTTGACTCTCAGATATGAAGTGCACCGCAGGCCGCAAATGTACTATTTAGAAGCCAAAAAATGTGAATGTTTAAAAATGCTATGTCACAGCACTATTTGACGGTTCTATTTGACTCTCAGATATGAAGAGCACGCCCCAAATTTACTATTTAGCAGTTTAGTATCAAAACAATTCAAATTTTTACAACTGCGCTGTAAGCGCAATATTTGACGCTTCTATTTGACTCTCAGTGTAGCGGATGACCTGTGCCTATCCGCCAGAATTATGTTTTAAAAGACTGTTCGCCTGTTTAACTGAATGTATAGTGAAAATTGCATCTAAGTTCGTATGTTAGTTCGGTAGTTTCCTTCATAGTTATACGAATAGAAACTACTGAATACATAGACCACCTTAGAGCTGAAGTGTGTCCCTCGTTAAACCTTTATTCC